GAAGCACAAAGGGAACTTGCAAGCATAATTATGATAAACATCAATGGGTGGTTTCAGAGTGTCAGAACTGAGAGCTTCATTCCTTTGGCTCAAGTGCTTGTAGTTGGGAACATTTTGTGTGCCTTTTGTAGAGCCACAGATTGGCCCAGACTGGAAGGGATTGTCTGGTTCAGTCTTTTGTGGGAAAGGAAGCCAAGGTGATTGTAGGAATCTTGTCCAGTTGCATCTTGAAAATCCCCAGTGATAGAGACTGCATCATCTCCCTGGGGACGTTATTCCAGTGAGTGATTGTTCTCACTTGAAAATAAAATGCTTATTTCTTACATTATGCTTTGTTTCTGCCCTTGAGTGTAAATTTTTTTACTCGCTTTTGTCTGGATATGTTTTTTTCTGTCTTTTTAGCTGTGAAAAAAGCATCAGAGTGGATTTTTTGGTTTAACAGCATTTTATTTTGCTGCTTGTGGTATGGATCTGGCACTTTTGCTGCTCTTCAAAATCCACATCTGGGTAGTGATAGGATGCAGAGGACCTTTGGATAGGGCAGGGATATCTGAGGCTGGACAAGCCTGACCACTGGTAATGGGGCATCTTGTTCTTTGTACCACCAGTAACTGACCCTCTTGTTCTTTGTACCTCATTGGTTTCTAGGCTTTTGGGTCATAGTGCTTTAGTCTGACCTGCTGGATAACAGAGGTTCTTTGAATTAATTTCCACTCTGCAGTCAGCAGTTGTGAATGGAACCAAACATACATTTTTTGGGAAGCAAGAAAAGCAAGGTGGAAGTATCCCATCTTATTTTAAAAATTGCTTGTGCTGGATCCTTGGCCATGCCAATTGGAGGACTTTTTTCTCTGTTAATTACCTGCAGTGTTGAAAAATGGTGTCGTTGTTTCTGGTTTGTTTTCTGTTGAGCTTCAACTTTCAACCTTTGGTCTCATTATGCCTTTGTCTGGCTGGCTGAGAGCACCCTTCTGACAGGTACCTACAGGCTGCAAAGTGCCTTTTAACTTTCTCTTTGATTGACTTCCTTGAGCTCCTTGCTACAAGCCCGAGTTTGTTCTTGTGGTTGTCCTCTGAACTCTCTCCAGTTTTTCCAGCAGTATTCTTCAAGTGTGGGTACAGGTATGAAACCTCACACTCCCATCAGCCGTGCCAGCCCAAGGCCCGAAGATAACAGGGCCTCTGCTGGTACGTGACATCCCTCGTCTGTGGAGCCAAGCACCACGGACCTGCCCTGCGAGCTCACGCCGGGCTAATTATCCTTTTACCTCAGCCAGTCCTGTAACTCTTGTATGTTTAAAAAGTTTCCACGCACTCATTTCTTTAATAAGCCAAGCGTCTCTTTAATCTTTGATGTGTTGTTTTTATTTTTTTCCCTTGGTTTGTATTCTGAAAGTAGTTTTAGTCCAACCTTTCTCCCTGTACCAGCCACACATCAAAACTCCTAACAAAGCTGAGAGCTGCTAGGAATGTGTTTTACAGAGCTGGGGCAATGAAGGTATTTCACAAGAGGAAAATAACACTGAGATGTATCTCCAGTGCATGGTGGGACAGGACAGATGCATACCACTGGCTCTAAAGTCCTGTGGGCTTTTTGACCTCTTCAGGTCTTGGTGGATTGTTTTTTCTCATGAAGACTAACCGTGGAGATGGTTAACCTGCAAGCCCTGTGCCAGTCAAACCTGCTGTTGCTGGCTATGGAGGGTGGCACCAAGCTGCTCGCCTGGGGGTCGTAGACTGGCTGCTGCCACCGGGGGTTTGGGCTTGAATTTCTAGATACTAGACACAGTTAACTGTATTTCCAACTGAATGTTTTTATTATTGGTTCGATGTTTCTTATGTACAATGATTCAGAGGAAGCAGAGGTGTTGATCTGATAGGGAACCTAGAAAGCTTTTCAGTAATAACATCCAGATGTTTCTTTAGCACATCTGCTTAAGCCACTGTTGAAGTCAATGCCTTCAGCGGTGCTGCTGGTGTGTTTTACTGCCTGCTGCTGTGTGTGATGCTAATTTATGAGTAATGCAGAAATGGAGGAGGGGGAAGTCTAGCAGCAGAAGGCAAGGACAACCAGCTGCCAAGGAAGCGTGGGAAAGGAAGGCAATCCAGACTGTAACCCAAATTATTCTTGCTTTTACCATTTGTGTAGGGTGTTTGGAAGTAGTCTTGCATGTAATTGTAAATACTGTGCCCTAGGTTTGCCTGGTTACAGGTCACTGTGTACCTGTGCTGTTGCAACTCAGCCATGTGGGCAAGACATTGTCTGTCTGAGCATTGACTTCAGCTGAGAGCAGGGCAAGCTCTCCTTGTGCCGTGACTGATGTGTGAAAAGATACTCCTGCCTGTGCCCTCATTAGTGGGAAGTTGTTTCTCTCCCTGGTTGTATCTGTTTAGCACTTCAACACAGCCTTGCTAATCCCTGCACCAGGGTTGTCAGCATGCAGTGTTCCTCCAGGGAGGGTCAGCTTTGGGACAGCTCAGCTGCCTCATGCCAGGGCTTTGGGCAGCCAGGATGCAACTGGGAGCTGTGCTTTTAATGTCACTGTGTCAGAGCTGTGCCCTGCCCACGGGAATGCTGCCAGCAGCCTGAGGATAATGTTCCATAATTCCCAGTGCCCTGAGCTGTGCAGTGTGAGTGTGCAGGCTGCACACTCCAAGCCCTGGGTCACAGCCCTTCCAGTACGGACTCGATCTGGTGAGCACTGCACCACTTCTCTTCCTCCCTCTTCCTCAATGACTTCTGCTGGTGGCTGATTTTCAGGGTCACAGGGGGTGTGTCTTCAGAGCAGACCAGTTTGTGGTGCTCACTGCAAAGTACTGACGTGGATGCCTGGTCTTGAAAGGTGATGGCAGCCACAAGGTCTTTGAAGAAGAAAAGATTCTCATCTCCCCATACGAAGGCTAGTGTGTCACCTCCCTCTGGGGATGGTGACATTGGAGGTTTTGCAGGTTAAAATGGGAGGAGAAGGTGGAAATGTGTGGTTGGGGTGTGGCAAAGCCCTTCTGTGTGGAGGAGATGTTGGTGTGGTAGGTGCCTGCGAGATGAATGGCCCAAAGGCGTAGATCTCATCCTATTCCCGTCTGTTCCTCTCTAATGAGTGACACAGCACCGTGAGCTGGCCAAGGATGGGCCATCAAGCGCTCCTGAATACGTGTCAGAGAGTGGCCCAGCTGGGTGATTCACAGGATGGAGGTGGACACTGTACAGCTCCAGAGGAGCCTGCAGCACCTTGGTTTGTGTGTGTGGTCCTTCAGAAAGTGAAGACCCTGAAACGGCACTGCAGGCCTTGAAGCAGGAGAGACAGCTTGGCTTGTAAACGTTTGCCATGTGAACACAGAAAGCAGCAAGAGATGGTCAGGGAGACACGTTTCTGCAGCTGTGAATGGCATTACCACCCTCATGGCTTGGGGCCCATCTTGTTTCCAGTTGCCACCTTCTTACTGTACCTCCCATGCTCCCAGGGTGTGCCAGAGCCATTTGTTTCCACCACACACAAGCTATGATCTTGTTTCTTCTGGCAATGAACCATGCTGCTTGGCTTCCCTAGCAAGGGTGTGTTTGAGCATCAGTAGCTTTGTACCTCCTGTGCCACATCCTGCACCCAAGGAAGAGGTTTCTTCAGCAGCACAGACCAGCTTTCCTGCTTCTTATAGAATGATACCACAGAAATGCCTGGGCTGGAAGAGGCTGTAGAGATCATCTATTCCAACCCCTCTACCATGGGCAGGAGACCCACTTCACTGTTTGTCTGTAACTAGGAACATTAAATCTGAGTAGCACCCAGCTTCCATTGATATAAGAGAGCTCTTGTTTTATGAGACTAAATGGCAAGTTATTCCCAGCTGCCTCCTAAACCTGAGTTAGTTTCTATGTCACTGGCCCACCCTGGCAATCCTCAGTTGCTGGGTTGGAGTTAGTTTGCAGGTCCTCCCAAATGGGATAGGGCTACTGGCCTCTTCTTCTGCAGCTCTTCCCACCCAAAGGAACCTTGTAGACATCTCTGTTGTGTTTATTTTCCATCTCTTTCAAATGTCCTCTGAACATAGATGAAAGCTGCCTCTTTCTTTCTCAGGATCATTATGTTGGGCTGCTTCTGTCTGGCCAGTGTCCAGTGGAGGAGCTCCTGAACATCATGAAAGTCTTTGCTTTCGATAAAGTACCTAAATGCTGTGTTTCCATTTCTCTCTGCACACAAAAATATGTCTATTTTTGATAAAAATTCGAATTTAATCTAGATATGATTTCTGGAGTTGCTCCTGTCTCCTCAGTAGAGCAGTGTGTTATACCCAGCAGGGCGATGTCTGCATTAGTATTAATCAACACACAGTGTAGTCATTTTGCTAATCTCTGAGAGTCTGTAGTTGAACACTTATATTGTCTTAGGGTAAAATTTACATGTAAAGCTAACTATATTGTATTGTGAATTAAAATCCACTTAATTTGATTAAAGTAGCTCAATGTTTTCTTTGTCTGCATTTGAGCAGACTGTTACTTTGTCACTAATCCGGTGCTGTGTTGCAGTTGAATGCACCCTCAGGAGACAGTCAGCTTCAGTAAATCCTCCTTTTCGGGAAAAATATAATAAAACTTTGGAGAGGGTTGGCTAATGACAGCACATCTAAACTTTCTGACTCTGTCTGCATTTTGGCTTGTATTTGAAAGGAGTCTTTGTTTTTAATGGAAGTTAAAATACAAAATGTAAAAGTTTGTGACTCCAAAGGGAAATTTTCCAACTGTTGAAACAAAGTGCTTCAAGTCAAAATAAGTCTCAATTCAGCAACCTTCAAAATTTCAAGATTTTTATATTTCTTTCCACTTACTCAGAATGGTAGAAAAAAAACTCAAGATCTTTAAATCCCACAAGGATGATAGAACTGGATTTTTCAGCTTTCTTTGACATCTCTTATTCATCACTGTTCGAGTAGTACCTTTCATTGGCTGAATCTTGAGGCAACAAGATGTTCTTTTGTCAGTACTGCAAAGTCAGGGTGTTCTTTGAAGTGTGAACCAGACATCACTCTCTTGATACTAATAGAAATCATGTATAAAACCTGAAGGTTTGTCAATCTGTCCTGATCTAAATATTAAAACTGTGTTTTCTTTATAGGTGTTTGGATGATGAAACTTGACGAGCTCCAATTTGGCTTGGATTACAGTACTTCAGAAGACTTTCTGAACTTGCCAGGCAACCCTCCCCCTAGACTTTGGGGACAGAGGAGCTTAAATTTATATTTCCAGTGTCACACAAGGAGAAAGAATGGAGTTGGCTGCTTTGTCCAAGTAATGAAAATCAATGCTGTGTTGTTCTTGGAAGGAGCGCTCAAAAGGAAAGCCTGGCATATAGATCTTGGTTTAGAGACAGATTTTGCCTAGGAAGACTGTGCCCAGGGGAAGATACAGGAAGAAGGAGAAGAGGTGATGCTACAAGCTTCCTGACCTCCAGAGTGGGACTGAAGCTTTGTAACAAGGTAAAAAAAAAAAAACACAAAACATTTTCTTTCCTTCGTACCTCACTGAAATATCCATCAGACAAGAAGTGAGATGTGTAATGAGTCCATGCATTGAGTAGTTTCTCCTACTGCTCCCAGTCTCTGTACCCATGGCCACTTCTTGTGTCCTGCATCACCCATGCCTTGAGCAGGCTTCGTGTAAAAATCATCGGTAAATCTCGACTGCCTTAGTTGTCCACGTATCTAAGACTTAATTTTTCAAGCATCTCTGCACACACATGCACACATGCACAAAACATGTTGTTTCTGGAGGGTGCTTGTGCCTTTACTTTATGCCTGAGGAGCCTGCTGCTCTGTTGTTGGCAGTGAGGATGAGAAGTCCCTCACACTTTTTGCACTGCACTCTTTGCAGCTCCAGAGCAGGACAGTGATGTGTTTTCCAAGCTGATGAGATACAGAGAGGACTGAAATGTATGGGCTTATTACATTGCTTTGTCCAAAGCCACAAGAGGAGAAAGGCAGAAAATAGAGCAAAATTACCCATTTTAAATTTTCTGCCTTCGGAGAACTGAAAAACATTGGCTGTGGAAAAGAAAGTTGAACCTTCATTTAGTTTTTAGCTTCTTTCCTGCTGCCAGTGTTTTTCCTCATAAACATGCATGGCTCTTCCCATGTTGGACCCTGGGCTCTGGAGTGCTGGAAGCATTCCTTGGAGGAGAAGGGTAGCCAGGGGTGTCAGGCTTGGTCTGTTCTAGCGATACAACTCCATGGGCACGGGGGATGTATGGCTTTCTTCTGCTGCACTTTGTACACCCTGGGCACTCTGAAGGCTGTGTGGTGTGAGGGTGGAAAGGGTTCATCAGACACTTCCTCTGAGTTTGTGTGGTATGTGTGATGTTGCCATAAAGGCCATGCCACTGCATGCATGGAGACCTATACTGGGCACGGTAATATTCCCTAATAAATTTGGCAATGGTGAAAAATGCTGAACTCCACTGAGGTCAAAATCCCCTCTCTTTTCTTCAGATCAGAGATTTCCTGGCTGTCCATCACCTTCACGTCTCAGCACTGAGCTGGAAGGACCATCACTTTGTATTAGAAATTTTTAACCTCTGTGACTCATTCAGTTGTTGGTTTAACTGCTGATTTTTCCAATGAGACTGCCAGTGACATGGGTAGATGTGGTGATGGGAAGATACCACTGTCTAGGAAGCAACAATGGTTTCACATCTATGAAGAGACTATCTATGACTAAGTGTGTAGCTGTTACTTTTCTAAAGCAGATTTGAATCAGAGAGAGGAAGGACTCTTTCAAAGTCTGGGTCTTGCCCAGTTCTTTGGAAGCACCAAACTGAAGTATTTGTTCATTAAGCCTGAGTTTCTATTTCAGAGTGGATGTTTAGATGCTAATCTTGTGTTTGAAATTCCCCCATTTAAAGGTGAGGTGAGAAAATGTTTGATACACATTGAACAGCAAGCACACTGTTAAAGATGAAAGGGAGTAGAAGTGGCTGTACAGAGCGAGACCATCTAGTTTGGTATCTCCTGTGGTGATAGCTAAGAGAGGAAAGAGTGCAAGAAAGAGTGCTTTAGGAATGAGCTTTCCTCAGCAGATCCTTGCAGAACCCAGTGGTTAAATGTGCTAAGCGTTTCTTGGGAGTGTCCTTATGGCCATTTGTCCCCATGGATCAGATGCTCCTGTTGTGCTCAGGTTACAGAGCTCATTACTCGGAGCAACCCAAGCCATGCAGTCTCTGGCCCAGTATTGTGTTTGTATGGATTAGCCAAGGTCACCTAAATCAGAGATGCTAAATTGGATTTGGCCAGGGGACCTCAAAGCACCTGGTGAACTAATGGTCCTGCTCTAATGACCAGGGGATTGGAATTCACCCTCAGTCCTGTGTAATTTGGTCATTTAACCCCTCCACTTCTTCCCCTGGGAAGCCTCTGCTGGCATGTCATAAAGAGCACCAGTCATATCTGTGGCTGTGAATTCCTGTGTAACAAGTAGGATTTAATGTCATGAACAGACCTTAGAAAATTCTGTGCAGCTCAGTCTTCAATTAGCTGTGTAGGACTCTTGTCTCCTTGGTGGCTTGATGCTTAAAGGAGAAAGATACAACCCCTCATATCTCATAGGAGCCTCTTCCAGGTCTCCAAAGAAGAATAGAGTGTAATTTGGCACTTACTATTTCATTGCATCAGCTTTTCTGGGTCTGGGAGTGCTCTTAGCACAAGCAAATAAATTACCCGTCTCATTTTGCTGCCTGCACTGCAGCCAGCCATATGTTTGAGGCTGATAGAGATTCTTATCTCATGGGCTAAAATTACTGAATGGAGGATGACATTTCTTATCAAGGGCTTTGCTGAATCAGAGACTGGCCCTGGCACCCAGCTCTGAAACACCACTCCTCTTTGTCCAGCCTCCCAGCCCAGTAATAAATGGATTTCTGCCTGTAGGTCAGAGGTGCTTGTGTCAAGGTTTTGTTGCAGATTGAAGCTCTGAGCATTGTCCGTGTGCCTGAGAGGATGTGGGATTGAGGAGAGGAAGCGAGACTGTTCATATGACTGAAACAGGGCATCTTAAAGCTGTGTGAATGCATCTTCACTTAGAAGTCCTCGTATGCACAGCTGATACTTCAGGCTTCACATCCAGGGACTCTTTTCTCCCACTGGACAAAGGCTTTGCCTCCAGTTCTGTGCTGTGAAAAGCCATGCTCTCCTACTGACAGCAACAGCTTTTCTCCACACTTAGAGCTTGCATCTCCATCCTCCCACCTCTTTAAGAACAGGTTCTTTTCCTTCCTCTCTTTCCATTTCTGTCTTTGGAGGTAACCTGGTAGCCGCTGATGAGTCAAGTGGGTGTCTGGATCTTTATCAGGTAGGAAAGAGACAGAGAAGCTTCTCCCACCAAGCCCAAGAACCCTTTTTTTTGCCTTGTCTTTGCCTCTTAGAGCAGAACTGACAGCATGGGGTGTTCAGCTTCTGCAATGCATCTGGGCAAAGCTCTTGATGGAGAATGGAGGGACTCTCCAGTGGACTTGGTGAACTCCCCTAACTGAGCACTGTCCACAAAGGCAGGTTTGTTCCATGGAGTCTTCCTGGGCAGGAAGCAAGACTACCTACCCACCCAGCCACCCAAGCAAGGTCAAACTTCCCATAAGAGGTTCCTAGGAAAGGCATCCCTGAATTAGCATGTTGTTTCCTCACAGGAGGGTGTGTTCCGCAGGACAATACTCCTGTAGTGGTGTACTAGGGGCCAGGGTTATCTTCTCAGATCAAAATAAATCTGGTAAAACAACATCTTTGACAGAGAGAGACTTAATGTGCAACATCAATTTCTTCTGCTTAGTGGTCTCAAATGAGTTTTTTAGTTTATCTGTGATTGTGGCAAGGTACTTCACTTCCCCTTTAATTGCACGTATCTTCAAGCTGGCCTGTGGCAGCTGTGTAATGCAGAGCAGGAGGTCAAGTCTTGGGTGTCCAGCAGAAGCCATTCTTTAAGCAGTGTAAGAGTGGTAACTATGCCCAGCCCATCGTGGCTGAAGGTTCCACTATTTGCACCCTTCCTGGCTCAATGCTGGCATGCTCTTGGAAGCATGGGACACATCTTTGAGCTATTCTGCCCAGGGAAGACCACTTTATTTCAGAGCCAAACCACCAGTACTCCTTTCTGCAGAACTCCACAAGATGCCCAAAGATAGCAGCCCTCTGTGGTGTGGCAGTGGGCCAAGGCTATGCTCTGACTCCTTGGGGAGGCTTCGCCATCTGCAGCAGCCATCAAGAAATGCTGAGGCTGATGAGTGCAGCATCCCCAGGGTGACCCATCTCCAGGGTAGGGTGGCTGGCATCAGAGGGCAGGACAGTGCCACCTTTCTCGTGGTTGGCACCTCTGGGGATGTGCAGCCATCTTCTTCCTCTTGAAACAGAATCCACAGCTTGATTTTCAGGTTTTCCTATGGCCTTCCTCCTGCATTCTGATGGTACAGCCCAGCACCCATCACAGCTTGCAGCATGGGGGTCTCAGGCACCTGCAGGTGCTGTCGCATGTGGGCTGGGTTCTCTTTCCTTCAGACCTTTTCACCATTTTCCCTCTGAATCATGCTGAGTCACCCTGACCTCAGTGGAGCAGCCTCAGGCCTGCCCGTCAGCCTCTGGCCCTGCACCAGCAGTTGAGCAACCACTGTCCCGAGGTCATGCTGGGATGGAGGTCTCCAGGGCAGTGGATGACCAGCTAGCCCTTGGGCTTTGCTCCCCAGCAGCGCCTGCATGCCATCGCACCACAGTCATGCTGTTCCCCATTACCTGGCCTCTGCTGAGGTGGCTATTTATTGCCTGTTTGCCTTGCATGCAGTGCTCTCCTGTCCTGTGGGAATAGGTGGTTGCTTCAGTGGGGGATTGGGGAGGTTATGGGGAAGTGCTGAGTTTAGGGCTAGTGACCATCTGAGGTGACCAGCTGGTAACTCCCAGTTGTCAGCCTGGCCTGTCCTGCTGGGTGCCTGCTTTTAGTTCAATTGCAGGATCATGTTTGATTTGTTGTAAGAAAGAGCAGAGGGGTTTCCCTCCAGCTGCCGAGTGCATGCACTGTCTGATCATTGTCTCAGGCACCGTGTCTGGCTGTGACTTCTGAATTGTCGCAGATAACCTCGGTGAGCTGGACTCTGGCTGCGTACCCACGGTGTGCACCTTGCATACCCACGGAGTTCACCCCAGGAGCCCGTGGGGTGCACACTGTATGTGCACAGCCTGTGCCCTACACTCACACTGAGCATCCTGCACACCCACAACATGCAGCCCATGCCCCCATGGCACGTGCCCCACACAGCCAGCACTCCCAGCTGCACGCACGCTGCAACCTTGTCCAGATTATGTGCTGGGTGGCAATGCTTGAGGTGGTGAGAGCGAAAAACGTGTCATTTTATTTGTCGGCTGAGGTAATTTTTTTTCTAGAAGCTGCTGAAGCACAGTCAACCTGGAACCCGCAGTGCTCTTACTAGAAACCATTATCTGGGTTAGAC